TGGATTGTGGCAATGTAGATATTCAGAGTATGCATTTAAGAAGTTTGGTGGATAGATGGGAAGATAATATAATGGTGAAGCAAGGTTGAAGAAAGTTTTGTCTGTTTTATAGCAGGGGGAAGACATACATGTATTTGTAAATCAAGGAAAAGGAGACATTAGAAAGGGAGAGATTGAAGATTTAGAAAGAGTTTTAGCCTTCTTAAATGCAAAAATGACTGTATATTGGGAGATGAAGCAACAGATAAAGAAAGATTACAATACATTTTCAGAAGACAGAAAGAAGTTGGAAGACTGATAATTGACTCAACAGATAGAAAGAAGTTTGAGCCTATGTATTGCAGGTCAGGGAATACTGGAGAGATGTGGGCCAGTTTACTTCCTCAGACACTTGAAAGACTTATCTCTATGAGGAACCAACCTCTACAGAAGCTGGTGTGTGTGTGTGTGTGTGTGTGTGTGTGTGTGTGTGTGTGTGTGTGTGTGTGTGTGTGTATGTGTTGGGGGGGTAGTGAGACCTCCAGGTTACTTCTCCTTACTCATTCAGCTAGACAAGAAGTGAGAGGTTTATTATTGAGAGAAGTTAAGATAGAGAAACTCTAGATGGGGGGCGGGGGGTAAACAGGATAGCGAGTACAGGAAAGAGACATGACACCAAAAATAGAGGGATAAAGTAAAATTTATAATGAATTATGAGACCCTCTCCCAAACACCCACCATGCTTCCAGAATGTCTTCAGCCATGTGAATACCCTTTATCTATAGGGAAGAGGTAAATAGAAAGATTCTATTTATTCCAAAATGGAAAATAAAACTCTTCTTGAAGAAATTGAATGTCCCTAGAGAAATAATCTCCCTACAATAACATATTAGGGACTCGACCAGGCGATCACGCTATACAGTGAAGCTGGTTCATTGACACACTATGCCAGCATGCATATGATTTACAATTAAAGTTTTCCTGCTTTATTCTAAACATATATGGACTGCAATGACTCACTGAAATTATTCTAAACATATATGGACTGCAATGAAATTAGAGCATAGCTTCCAACATGAGAGAGGCCAAACTATCGAACAGGAAAAATTACCATAGATGAAATTGAGACATTCAAGGGTGCAGGGAAAAGCATTTAAAAGCCCACCTAATTGATAATGTCAGAGATTAAAAATACTGCATTCAGGATATTTTGCAAAAGAGAACAAAAGAGAATTTAGAAATAAAAAAATTAACAAAAATTGATGTTGAATAGAAGGATTGGAAAATGAATCAAGGGAATATCTCAGAAAGTAGACTAAATAAGGAAATGGAAAAATATAAGAAAAAGGGTAAGAAAACTAGAGTTAAACAATTGTTTAAAGAGGGGATAAGAGAAAATGATATGGAGAGAATACTTTAGTAAACATACAAGAATATCTTCAGTAATGCACAGCCCATATTGAAAGATGGGCTCCATACAATGAATGGAAGAAAACCTCTCAGGAAATAGTACGTCAAATTTTAGAACATGAGCTAAAGACATGATCCTAAAAGCATCAAGGTCAAGAGTGAGATAAAGGAGGCAGGAAATTAGAAGGAAGGTGGAGACACATTATTGCATGTGGTGGTTGGGATACCTGCTGTGTAGGTTGAGGTTTTCTTTTTAAAAGTCATTTGATGCAACTTTCTAGTTCAAAATTTCCACTTAAAGTTTATGTTTTGGTGTTACCTCTCACCTCTACCCTTGTCCACCTTTCAGGTTTATAGGTGGTCCCAAAGAGAAATGGCAGGCATCATGTGATTGTTTTGTTTGTTTTTAAATGAACATTATTTAAACCAGTACAGTAATAGTCATTATAAAATTTACTTTAATACTGGTGACTTTCCAGAGAAAATACAATTTTAGAAGCTTGCTTTTTTTTGATTGGATGAAAAACAAATAATTTGCTAATCGCTTGCTCACTTAAGAGGGGATATAATAACGTATATGTAATAAAATTGGTTGCCTCTTTTTAATATATTCCCAAAGAAAATAAAAATAGAACCTACATATGTATGTAACATATACATATATATACATAAATGTGTCTGTGTGTTTAACCAAGTAAGTAAACAAGAATTTTAGGCCAACACAGCTTTTTCATATTTTTTCCTGATTCTCTACCAACATGTGACTTTGTCTCTAACACAAATGGTATAACCAGAATTTAAAAATTCTCCCTGACAGTTCGGTAGTCAGTTTCAGTAGTCAGTTGTCTATGTATGTAGTATTCAAAGTTAGCAGTTACCATGTGAATGCATGTTGTTTTATTTATATAAACAACTTCTGGCTATGTTAGTCCTTAAGAACATTCTTACCTACTGTTTCTCATGATTTTTATAAAGAAAAGCAAAATTCCTGCCTTACAGTTTTTACGTACAATGTAGATAAATTTAAAAGTTAGCTTGGAGGAATGTATTTCTCCTTGTTTTCCAATGAAAGTCTAAACATGAGATAAGTTTATTGTTAATTTTTTCCTTGAGTTTCTTCATGGGTGCAGGGAGACCAGTATTTTAAGACAAAATTGAGGCATATTGTTGGATTGTCTTTTGGCTTCTCTCTAGTACCTAGAAATCATTTGCTTATTTTATTTTCTATAGATATGAAAAATAAACAAGCCTCTTTGTTTTATTTGGTATCAATATTAAATTGATACTAGGAATTCAGTATTAGCAACTCATTTGCAAGAGCTTAATATGATAAAGCTGCTTCTTTGTAATATATACATTTATTTGTTAGCAGTGTTCTTTGATACGCTTTGTACTTTTCTATACTGACAAAACCGAGGGGTACTATTTATTTCCTTTATATATCTCTATTGTTTGCCAGACTGCAGAAAATTCTGAGATTCTCCTCTGTTGGAACATGTTGTTGAGTAAGGCAGTATGACAACATTGTACTATAGCCCTCTCACTTGCTTTCACACATCCCAAGCTTTAACAACCATACCTGAAGATTTAAAAAAGGGAAAGAACAAATATAAAAATTACATAGGTAATGTAGGCATGTTGCTACCATATATCCAGAAGGTAGATTATTATGTTGCCAGTGGGGAAGGGACTTAGGCAGATGGTTGAAAAAGGTGAAGAGATGAAAAGGTACAAATTAGTAGTTAAAAATAGTCATGGGGACACAGAGTACAGCATAGGGAATATAGTCAATAGTATTGTAACTGCTATGTGTAGAGCTAGATGGATGCTAGAGTAATCAGGGGGGATCACTTTGTAAACTGTATAAATGTCTAACCATTGTACTGTATACCTGAAACTAATATTAAATAAACAAATAAATAAATAAATAAAGCATAATAAATAATAAATTCATTGAGAAAAGTATCACTGAGATATTGCGTTACATAGGACTTCATACACAGGTTTTCTTTCCTTGCCATCTTCCATTTTTCCACAAAAGTTCTTACTTTTTCTCCCACAGTGAGATATTTCCCAAAGGCTTTCCTGAGGAGTACGCCATAGCAGCCATGTTTCGTGTACGAAGAAACACCAAAAAGGAACGATGGTTTCTATGGCAGGTTTTAAACCAGCAGAATATGCCACAGGTAAGGAACCAGAGAGTTGTGCTCAGGCCAGGTGAATCTTTGAACTGTACACAAATCCGGGAGTAGATCTAGTATATGAATATTCTGTCTTTTAAAGGAATCATCAACAGGGAAATTCAAGAATTCTCATAGGATGGTCTTGCTGAAATCTATAATATGAGTGCCTGGTAGATGAGGCCATATTAGTTTTTCTTTTTATTTCTAGGTTCTTATTTTGTCTAAAAACATTCAAGCTGCCCTTCCTTCACAAATGCTTCATTGGCACTAAGTCCACTTCGCTAATAACTCCTTTATCTGTGATCATTTCTGATATTATGTATTATTTTTAAATGCTGTTTATTTTTTCACCTGAAAATCCTTAGGGAACTAAGAGGTGAGACATTAATACTGAGTCCATCAATAAACATTTATTGAACACATGCTCTAGGCTAGTTAGTGACCAAGATAAGAGATTTAGAAAGCATAATTCCTATTCTCAGGAACATAAGGTCTAAGGGGATGTCATCTAGGTAAACAACATACTAGAGCATAATCACAGTATGACGAAGCAGTAGTAGAGGTAAGCTCAGAGTTGGATGGGGACTATGGGAGCATGGAAAGGACAGTTCCCAAAAATGAGGTCTGGGGAGAGCAGGAATCTAAGAATACTTGTGGAAGAGATGGCATTTGGCAGAAAGGAGGGGGTGCAGGTGCTCCAGTGAGGGAAGATGAACCCCGGTATTCCTTATTAGCACCATATGTTTGTGTTTACCTTTATACATATCCATTGAAATGTTTTTTGTTTCACTGGTCTTGTTAATACAGTCACAATTTTGTGATGAGAAGATGAACCAAACGCATAGTATCTCCTCTATGAAAATGTGTTCTGTCCACACCATGCTAATCATCAAACATTAGAGAATTTGATCTCAGTTTCCATGCTAAGAGAAGTGATGATATTCTTAATTCTTTTCTTAAATTCTTAATTTAATTCTTAAATTAATTCTTAAATTACTCATACAGAAATACACACACACACACACACACAGATACACATATATACTCTTAAATGTTCTCTCAAGAAAGGAGCATATTGCATTCACTCGTATATTCCATATGTAAACCATTTTGTAGCTGGATATTTGCTGTTCTTTTATGTTAACAAATCTGGAGGGCACAAGTGTCATCTAAAACATTTTATTATGTGCCTCAGTTATATTGACATGTGTCTTGAGTTTTTACTTGTGTGATTTAATAATTTAGAACATTGATTTTAAAATATTTCAATATAATTTGCATTTTTGTAGGTTTCAATAGTGGTTGATGGCGGAAAGAAGGTGGTGGAATTTATGTTCCAAGCTGCCGAGGGAGATGTATTGAATTACATTTTTAAAAATCGAGAACTCCGTTCTTTGTTTGATCGTCAGTGGCATAAACTTGGCATTGGTATACAATCTCAGGGCATTTCAGTTTATATGGATTGTAATTTAATTGCAAGCCGGCATACTGATGAAAAGGAAGCTGTGGACTTTCAAGGAAGGACTGTTATCGCTGCACGAGCTTCAGATGGCAAGCCTGTGGACGTGAGTCGCGATGTTGGTTGTGAAAGAACTTCTAAATCAATTCAGTTTACTTCTAAGTAAATTCATATTTCTAAATTAAAACAAAATATCTTATTTAAATCTTCTTTAATTAGTACATAATAGAGTTCGTTCTCAACACTGTTTAATTTGCCATCAGATATATGAAGGATAGCTGTGTATTTCCAATTGCATTTTCATATATATTATCTCCTATCTATTTTCAACCATTTTTACAGCTTGTGAATTTAAAAGAATTAGGTCGTGCCTTAAAAATAAGGTTATTAAAATTAAATTTTAGTAAAAGAGAAATATAGTACAAAAAGTAAGCTTGGTCTAAGCTCATATGTTTTGAATAGAAAGGACTGGAAAAAGATGAACTTTAAATGGTTCCAGATTATCTGGTGTTTTCATTCAAGAACAATAGGCTATTTATTCATCCTCAGACTAGCAATGCAGTCTATATTGCAGACTATTTTTCATAAGCTTATAATGATTTTTCAGGGTTCTAATAGACTGAAACATGGCCATTAATTGTATCATTAGGTCATTGGGATGAGAAAAACTAGGTAGTAAAACCCTTTCAGATATTAAGGTCTTTTAAAAATTACATTTGATCCTCAGATGATAAAGATTTATTACTGATTTCCCTAGAGAAGAAGGTCTTAAAGAAAGTGAGCTATATATAAGTTTGATGACTGCACATTTTCTTGTGGGCAGAATGATGGGGAAACCCATAAAAATAATCTGAATGCAAGCTACCAATAGGAATTGAGATTGCTGTTAATCCAAAGCACTTAAAAGTTCAATTTTATTTCAAAAGCACAATTCTGTGCAAATGCATATTTAGCCAGCTCATATAACACACAACCATATTTTTTAAAATAAAATATTATTTTTAAACTATCTTCCCTTTGAGACAATGAACAAATCAATGAGAATGTTATGATGAGGGTTCAGTGATTATCAGCAAAATAAGCCAAAGCAGAAGCCAGTCCTAGAGACAAGACATCATGGCATAAAGAAGAGTGAGCTCTCTTGAGGATCAGACAGATGTGGTTGCAAATCCTACCTCATCTACTTAACTGTTATGATCTGCTAGTTTATCTTGTTAGATGTTAATTTATCTGAGTCTCAGTATCCTCCATTATGAAATAGTGTTGGTAGTTATTCATTATAATTGTATAGAATATGTGCCATAGTGCCTGGTACATGGTCAGTTCTCTGTAAATTCATTTATTTATTCAGGGTCAGACATGGGAATCTAACCCTGGTATAAGAGAAGAGAGTGGGAAAAATCTTTTTAAAAAAACAGCAACAATCTTCTATTCCTGCTCTCAAATACCTTGAAGGCTAATGGAAAGTTTAGTAGATGTCAGTAAATGGTGACTGCCAATTGTAACAACAGTATTAGACAGACCTTTTGAAAGGTTTCCCCAAAGGCAAGGCAGGAAGTGGAGACCAGGAGCTAGAACAACAGAGACTTCCAGCAGTAGGTGGAGTAGAGGTAGATAGGTAGTCAGCTTCAGGGAATTCTAGTAGCAATGGTAGCAGTGGCAGTAGTACCTGCAGCAAGTACTGGAGTTTAGGACTGGAATCTGCTCTTTATAGGACTAATGAGAACCAAAGAGTGCACTGAGATAAATTCATAACCTTTGGAGGAGAAACAGCAATGAGAGAGGAACAAGTTATTGTAAGAGCGGGGCTCAGGCTCAGAGCTCACCCTCTGAAGGCTGTGTCTCATTAACTTCTCATCTGAGGAAAGAATTAATCCCAGAACCTAAGGCTGAAGAATGTCAGGTGTGTCCTTATGAAAAGACATAATGTGAAAATTATAATGTTATAGTAGTTTCATAGTTCAATATGAAATCGATTCATTTGAGGATAAAATTAAAGGCATACTGCAATGAAGAAGCTTTTTAGGAGATAGTCACTGTTTAAATTAAACAAAATACATAGTATTTTTTTTTTAAAGATTCTTTGTCCTACCAAAATTTTAAGTAGACTAATTTTTTGTTATCTCCTTACAAGCTCTGTGAGTCATGAGATCTGTTGTAATGTGAAAGTGTTTTATTTATTCAGAATTTATGTTATTGAAAAAAATTCTGATGATTGGGTTTTATTTTACATATACTACCAGAGTGCTTTTATGAGAGAGGTGACAAAACTGATATAAAGCACTTTTTTTTTTTAACAAATCCTGTATGACAAGGGTAAATAAAAGACTTAGCCCTAAACATTCTCATTCTAAAGCACTGTGTCAATGAAGGGTTCTAAAATAACTAATGAATAACAGAAGCATGATTAAACTAGGCTGATTGTAGTTTCAGTGTCATGGGTACTTGATTAGGTTCTAATCTGTCAAAAATTGATGATCTATCTTTAGTTAAAGTAAAATAATTCATACGAAGGACTTAGCATAGTGGATGGTACATAATAGAATTTCAGTATTTATTGGCTATTTTGATAACAATGATAATGATAAATAAGTTTTAGTTAAGAAGAATATTAATTAATTGGCATCCCCATTCTTCATTCTACATAATGAATATATTACGGCCTGGTATTTCATTAAACTATGTAAGACAGTGTGTTTAAACTTTATAAACAAAAGTTAACTTCAATAACCTTGCAAAAAGTTATAGAAAAGAAATAATTTTCCATTTTATCTCATAATTTTTCATTGGCTGCAAATATTATATTGCTCATGAATTCTCAAGGTGTCTGGAGTTCTTAATGCTTGCTATGAAGTGGATTGATTTTGTTCCTCTCAGTATAGACTAATAGTTACAGCTTTTTAATTTTTTGCTTTTTTGGTGTTGGGGTAGGGATTTAAAACTAATTGCAGATATCTGCTTTCTATTATCATAGAATTTATTATTATAATATTATAGTTGGGCCTTTCTGTAAAAAGTACTTATTGACCCCAAAGTAATGCATAATCTAACACTGTTATTTTGAGAGACAGGCCGAGAGAGGCAGGAGAGAGAAAGGCAGGAAGGAGGAGTAAGTGAGGGGTAAGGTTGTCCTTGGCCTATTTTATGTCAAATAATCATATGATTAATTATTAATCAAATTATTAAATTTTCAACCATAAACTAAAATAGTCCAAGCATCTATCATATTGAAGTTTTATTACTAGCGTATACTATTTACTTGGTATATAGTTGTTTGATCTGGCGTTTAAAGGCATGATTGTATTTCCTTTGAACTACTTTTAATTTCATGTCCAAATGCCAAAAAAAGGTGAATCTGCTGAGCAATAGAAGGAATCAATTATTTTTTGTAAGAAGATTGTGAATCCTGCTCAAGGTTAGGCTGATATAATATAAAATCCATAAGTCTTACAGAATCCATATTGGGAAGTGAGCATCTGTTTCCATGCCTCAGATAGGTCTGAAACTGCAGATAAAGCCTTTCCGTTTTGTGCTCATACATTTGACTTTACTTTTTTTTTTCCAAAAATCTACTATGAAATAGTCCTCATTTTGTGGTTGTATACTTTATAGTAGTGCAAAGCAGTACTTCTCATTAATTAAATACTTCTTTTTTTATTGTTTGAAACAACTAACCAAGGTTTGCAATTGCTTTTATTACTTGATTTCCTTTATATGTAGACTGATCTCAGTACCTGGATCTGTGTCTATTTCTCAGTACATAAAATCATGATCCTAAATTAATAAAAATATTAAAAATATCCACTAGTAACTTATTTTTACTAGGTTCTTTTATCTTATCAGTTAAATTACCATGATTTTTAAGTGCCTCAATGTGATTTTCAAAAAAAACTAATGATATATCTTATTACTAATTTTTTAATAGATTGAACTTCACCAACTTAAAATCTACTGTAACTCAAACTTCATAGCTCAAGAAACTTGCTGTGAAATATCAGATACTAAGGTAAGTTAATTTTCTCGGTGTGTGAAGAATGTAGAATGCCAGTTGCCAAGTCTATAGAGTCCAAGTGTAGGGCAACACTGAATGTCTTCTGTTGAAACCAAGTGAATAATTCATTCCAAGTAAGAACACCCTCTTAGAGCCTTCTCATAGTTTAATTTCATAATTTTAATTCCAGTGTTTCATCCTGATCTTTGGAAATTATGTCTTCAATTTGGGCTCAACATAAGTAAAGGAGAATTTATGCCTTTCTCCCTAAATGTGTTCCAAAAGTAGCATCATCATTTCCCAGTTACAGAGGTTTTAAATTCGTGATCATACCTTCTTCCCACTCATTTCCCTCTTCTATCTCCAATGCTGAATAATCTTCCTTTGTGATAGGTCTTTTATCTGCATCTTCCTTATTCCTATTATTGCCATGGTTCACCTTTGCCTCATGCCTGGTTTGTTGCATTATTGTGTCAACTATCTTCCTTGTCTAGCTTTTTTCTTTGCAGCTTTACCAGAATAAGTCTCTGAATCACTGCTTTGTATATTTACTTTTATTCACTAAACATTTATTATTCAAAAACACTTATCTTCTAGACACTGTGCTAAGGAACAAGGCTAACAGACATGAATAAGGAACATTCCCTGCCTTCTATTCATCTTTCTCAAAGCCTTTTGTCATTACTGTTGGCAACAAAATATAAATCCAGTTTCTTAGCCTCTCATTCTTTTTTTTTTTTAAGATTGAAAGGATTTATTTATAAGAATTTTAAAAATGACTCAATTTCAAAAGTACTCTGCTACAAATCTAGAATTTAGTTATCTGATAAAATGACAATGTTTTCTTAGATTATTGATCTGTTCTTAATAAAACACTGTAAATGGTTTACTTTACTTTTTATCAGACTTTTAAAAACTAATTTTTACATTTTTTAAAAAAACTTTTAATTAGTTTCAAGTATACAGTATATTGGTTGGACATCTATATAGTTAGCAAAATGATCCCCCAATTGCTTCCTCCCTCCCCTGACCCTCCACCTAGCCAATGTATTAATACTAATTGCATTCCCTATGCCATGCTCCCCGTCCCCGTGACCATCCATCAACTACTAATTTATACTTCTTTAACCCTTCACCCCATTCCCCAAACCCCGCCTCAACAAATCCCCTCTGTCCAACACCAAATTGTCCACTATATTTGTGTATTTGATTTGTTTTTGATTTGTTTGTTCTTGATTTGTTTGTTCTGTTTTTGATTTGTTTGTTCTTTTTATTTCTTAGATTCCACATATAAGTGAAATCATATAGTGTTTATCTTTCTCTGTCTGACTTAAATACCTTCTAGGTCCATCAGAGCAATATCTTTTTCCATCCCCTTCCTTTTCATATGTAGGGGCCTTGTTTTCTTATCCTTTCAGCCACTCTGTCTTTTGGTT